ACTATGGCCATATAGCCCGAAAAACCCTACAACAACCCAGTGATTCCGGCCATGAAAGCCTTCGACAATACATTGAACATCTCTATGGGGAGAAACTATTCCAAGACACATGAAAAACTCACTACCTCTGAGGAAGCTTGCCATAGATGCAGGCGAAACGTCAGGAGAGAATGCCTCTAGACCATGGCCATATAGCCCAAAAAACCCTACAACAACCCAATGTTTTTATTATTTAATGTCTCCCTCCATCTCAGTCTCAGTCTCTCTCTCTCACTTGCTGATGTTGGAGAGATCAACCTGAAGCCTTCCAGATGTTGTCAGAATACTATTCACATCATCATTCAACATCATTCAGTATTGACTATCTTAGGGATGGTCAACTGCCTATGTTACCCATTGATCACATACCAAGTCGAAAAGATCAGACATGACTTCTGATCATTGTTTGATCACATGCCAGGTCTAACAGGTGGGACATGACTTCTGATCATCGTTTTTGATCTGCTGTCATGTTTGCACCTGGTTATTGGTGGTTTGGCACAGATTTTGGTTGGGACATTGTCCTCAAATTGTACACACTTATTTTGGAAGGTTTATGGGACTTTAGGAAAAATCAGGGGTTGAGAGTTTGAGGATCACATATATTTGAAGTTTGCACTTTTCCCATGACAGGTCTATGCTGTTGGAGTCCCAATCTGGCTATTAAGAAAAGAGCAGATTTCCTGAAAGAAGAACCAGGAAAACAAGATTCTGACTTATTACCTTGTTGCCTTGTTTTTTACTCGTGTTTTATTTTGAAATGATCAAATAAATAAATATTATTATTATTATTATTATTATTACAATCTGGCAAGATCTAAAGCAGGGGTCCTCAAACTATGGCCCGGGGGCCGGATATGGCCCTCCGAGGTCATTTACCTGAGTGAGGTTGACCCTCACTCAGGGTCAACCTAAGTCTGAAACGACTTGAAAGCACACAACAACAACAACAACAACAACAACAACAACAACAATCCCATCTCATCATCCAAAAGCAGGCCCACACTCTCCACTGAAATACTAATAAGCTTATATTTGTTAAATTTGATCTTCATTTTAATTATTGTATTGTTTTTAAGTGTTTTTGCACTACAAATAAGATATGTGCAGTGTGCATAGCAATTCATTCATGCTTTTTTCAAATTATAATCCGGCCCTCCAACGGTTTGAGGGACTATGGCCTGGCCCTCTGTTTAAAAAGTTTGTGGACCCCTGATCTAAAGGGTTGGGGGGGGGGGGGGCTTCCTGTAGTGTTAAGGCAATACTTCATGTGATATAGCCTGCATCTTCCCAGTGACACAACACAGAAACAATGGGAATGTTATGGAAGCAGAGTTATGTGTGTGTTGTCAGGCTGAAAGTTTTAACCCTTTTTATTTAATTCCACATTGAAAAATTGTGGCCCAAAGCACATGGGGCATATGTATAACCCATCCTTCCAAAATAGTCCCTGACTCACCCAGCTTTCACCTTTTGTTTTGAGAAAAAGAAAAAGAGGAGTTGCCTCTCCTGGAAGCTTCCAGGAGTTATGATTTCCCTTCCAATAGGTCAACTTTCAGTCAGTTTTATTTGCTTTATGGATTTCTTGGGAGGACTGAATTGCTTAGCAATAACCTGTAAACCCCTATCAGACAACTGCTCCCCGAGCCTGCCAAAATTTACCACCAGTGATGTAGCTGCTGCACATTAAGATCTTGATTTAATGAGTAGATTTCTTTCACACTAAGCACTGAAATGTTGGACTCATCTAGACGAACCCAAAAATCTCAGCCAGCCTGGAGCAGAAATGTTCTGCTCCTCAAGCTACAACTGTTGTTGTTGCTGTTCTTATTGTTTATTCATTCAGTAGCTTCTGACTCTTTGTGACCTCATAGACCAGCCCATGTCAGAGCTCCCTGTTGGTCGTTGCCACCCCCAGCTCCTTCAAGATCAATCCAGTCACTTCAAGGATAATATCCATCCATCTTGCCCTTGTGGCAGAGGTGAAATCCAGATGGCCCAGTTGAGTTGAAAATGACTTGACCCAACTGGGCAATATTACCCTTACCAGTCCTGTTATTCCTAGCTCAACAACAGCCCATGTGAAAGTCTCAGCAGACCACAAGTTGAACATGACCCAACAATGTGATGCAGCAGCTTTAAAAGCCAATGCGATTCTAGGTTGCATCAATAGGAGTATAGTGTCGAAATCAAGAGAAGTCATGCTGCCCCTCTCTTCTGCTCTGGTCAGACCTCACCTGAAATAACCCAGTATCCAGTTCTGAACCCCACAATTTGAGAGAGATGTTGACAAGTGGGAACATGTCCAGAGGAAGGTAACCAAAACGACCAAAGGTCTGGAGACCATGAATCCCTCTGAGGAGCATTTTAAAGAGCTGGGTCTGTTTTGCCCCAGAAGAGAAGGTTGAGAGGAGACATGATAGCTATGCATAAATACCTGAAAGGCTGTCATAAGGAAGAAGGGAGCAGGTTTCCTCAATGGAGCCATGGGTCCAAATGACAGGAAAGGAGATCCCACTTGAACATTAGGAAAAACTTCATGACTGTGAGAAGAGCTGTTCAGCAGTATATAGTCTTCTTCCCTCTGAGGGCCTTTTTCTTTTTCACCACATTGCCTTGAGCCTTTGGGAGGATGGATGAGATGGAACTAAAATCTCTCACAACATAATCTGGAGGGCTTTTGCCATTTGGCAGAATGACAACAAAGAAGGAGGCAATGCCTCCGAATGAGAGATGGCACAAATTGCAAATGGGAACAACATTACATGGAGCATACAACGTTGTTTGCTGATCTCTCAACTGATCCCAGGATCCTGGAATAGACCTGTACTCATTGAATCAGTGGAATCATAACAACTACAGGCAGTCCTCAAGTTGTGAACAAGATCTGTTCTGTAAGTTTGTTAAGTTGAATTTGTTTGTAAGTCGGAACAGGGACATTTTTGAACTGTAACACCAGCCATGGCAACAAGAATGATTGACAACTGGAAAACAGAGGGAGAAAATGTGGAGGCCATGACAGACTTTGTATTTCTAGGTGCAAAGATTACTGCAGATGCAGACTGTGGCCAGGAAATCAGAAGACGCTTACTTCTTGGGAGGAGAGCAATGTCCAGTCTCGATAAAATAGTAAAGAGTAGAGACATCACACTGGCAACAAAGATCCGCATAGTCAAAGCCATGGTAGTCCCTGTAGTAACCTACGGATGTGAGAGCTGGACCTTAGGGAAGGCTGAGCGAAGGAAGATCGATGCTTTTGAGCTGTGGTGTTGGAGGAAAGTTCTGAGAGTGCCTTGGACTGCGAGAAGATCCAACCAGTTCCTCCAGGAAATAAAGCCCGACTGCTCACTGGAGGGAAAGATACTAGAGACAAAGTTGAAGTACTTTGGCCACATCATGAGGAGACAGTGAAGCCTAGAGAAGACAATTATGCTGGGGAAAGTGGAAGGCAAAAGGAAGAGGGGCCGACCAAGGGCAAGATGGATGGATGGCATCCTTGAAGTGACTGGACTGACCTTGAAGGAGCTGGGGGTGGTGACGGCAGACAGGGAGCTCTGGCGTGGGCTAGTCTGTGAGGTCATGAAGAGTCGGAGACGACTGAATGAATAACAACAAACACTAGCCATACACACACACATACACACACACGTGCCCCCCCCCCCAGTGGTGCAGCAGGTTAAACTCCTGAGATGCTGAACTTACTGACTGAAAGGTTGGTGGTTTGAATCCAGGGAGCTGGGTGAGCTCCTGCTGTTAGGCCCAGCTGCTGCCAACCTAGCAATTTGAAAACATGCAAGTGTAAGTAGATCAATAGGTATGGCTTCTACAGAAAGGTGACGGCGCTCCATGTAGTCATGCTGGCCACATGACCTTGGAGGTGTCTAAGGACAATGTTGGCTCTTTGGCTTAGAGATGAGCACCACCCCCCAGAGTTGGACATGATGAGACTTGATGGCAAGGGGCATCTTTACCTTTACCTTCACACACACACACACACAAGCTTTGGATTGCATGGTAAAGGATGAACACTCTTGTGGTGTTTCCTTTGCTGAATGGGCCCCTCTTCAGGAGATTTCCCTGCACTTTCTGTCCCTGTGAGAATTGGGTTTTGGAAAATGTGGTTTGTTGTGGAAACAAGGATTGGGGAGAACGCTTCACTCTTTCAGGAGTGGATTTGCCTTCCTTCCGAGGGGGGAGAGTCCTCTCCCTTCCTGTTGTCTCAGCCCTGTTCTTAACTAGGAGTCGTTTGTAAGCCGGATGTTTGTAACCCGGGGACGGCCTGTACAAAGAAGATGATGATGATATGAGGATGATGATGCTCACAATGCTATGGGTTGACATGCTCTCCAGGAAGCCATCTAGAATTTCCATAGTGAAAAAGAGGGTGGAGGATGTTTGGGGGTGGGGGCAGTGGGCAAAGCAGGCAGGTGAGCAGCTCCGGGGAAGGAGGGGGGCTGAGTTGGAGAGAAGGCTGCTTAAGGCCATAGAGCGCTGGCAAGGGTGCTGAGGGGCGTTGGGGGCAGGAGGGGGTCTGCCACAGCCCCTTCTCCCCTGTATATTGTCCAGAAAAGAAACCCCAAACAAAGCCCCACTGCGCCGGAAGGCTCCTGAGCAGGGGAGGGAGGGGGGCGGCTTCTGAGAATGGCGAGGCGCTCCCTCCCCACCCGGCACCCGCGAGAGTCACGTGACTCCGCCCCGGCGCTGAAAAGAGAGAGAGAAAGAGAGAAAGAGAGAGCGCGCGAGAGAGAGGCGGGTGCGCGCGCAGGAGGGGCGGCAGGCAGCAGGCAGGCAGGCAGGCAGGCAGGGGCCGGCTGCCCCGCGCCCCCTCCCCCCCCCGCCCCTCAAGAGGCCTCTTCCTTCCCACCGGCGCTGGCCTGCTTTCCCCGCTCTGCCTCTTTTCCCGAGAGGGCGGTGGCGATGGAGAGGGGGGGCCCTGAAAGGCAGCGAAGGTGACCGCGGCGGAGGAGGCGGAGAGCGCCGTGGTGCTGAAGGGACAGCTCCCTGCGCAGTCCCCGCTGGGCGCTGCCCCCCTCCTCCTTCCCTCCCTCCCTCCCTCCCTCCCTCGCTCCCTCGCTCCCTCCCTCTCGTGGGCCGTCTCCTCCTCTCCCGGCCAGGCCCTCGTCTCTCCCCCGGGAGGCCTTCCATGCTGCCACGGCGCTGCCCCAGCTCTCCCACCCGCGGCCAGCCAGCATGCCTTGACCCCCGCCCAGCCAGCTGCTCCCATGGCGGTGGCCCGGAAGATCAAAACTTTGTTGACGCTCAACATCTTGGTCTTTGTGGGCATCATCCTCTTCTCGGTCTACTGCCGGATCCAGGAGCATTCCCATGAGCTGGTGCAGATCGTCCGGAGCCCAGCGCGCCCGCCCGCCAGGAGCAGGGGCCCCAAAACAGAGGCCCTGCTGGACAGGGAGGCTATCCTCCAGCGGCTGGACCACCTGGAGGAAGTGGTCTACAACCAGCTCAATGGTAAGGCCCCGCTGGAGGGGAAAGGGAGAAGTTCCTAACCCTAGTCCTAGCCCTAATACTAGCCCCTAGCCCCAGCCCAAGATCTAGCCCTAGCCCTAACACTGGCCCTAGCCCTAGCCCTAATCCTAGCCCTGGCCCTAACACAAGCCCTGGCCCTAACACAAGCTCTGACCCTAGCCTTAGCCCTGGCCCTGGCCCTGGCCCTGGCCCTGGCCCTAGCCCTAACCCTAACCCTAACCCTAACCCTAACCCTAGCCCTAACCCTAGCCCTGGCCCTAGCCCTAGCCTCAGCCCAAGATCTAGCCCTAACCCTATCCCTAACCCTATCCCTAACCCTAGCCCTAACCCCTCCCAAGTCCAGCCTGATGAGTCTGTGGGGAAGCTGTGCCCAGACCAGGTAGAGTTTCCCTTTTGGCATGGATCCAATCAATGCCCCCATGAGAGAGGGGAATGAAACGCTCCTGAGCCTTGCGGCTTCAATCCCTGTCTTTGGACAAGGAGGCAGAATTGCTGGAGCATGAAATATGGGGCCCACTACAGTCAGGGATCACAGGACTTTCACACAAAGAGCTGGGGTTGTCATGTACAGATAGCATAGAATCATAGTTGGAAAAGACCCCAAGGATCATCCAGTCCAACCCTTTTCTGCCAGGCAGGGACAGCACAATCAAATTACCCCTGACAGATGGTCATCCAGCCCCTGTTGGAAAGCTTCCAGAGAAGGAGCTTCCGTGACACTCTGAGGCATTGAACAAGTCTTCTTCTAGTCAGAAAATTCTTCCTAATGTTCAGGTAGAAATTCCTTTCCTGTCATTTGGACCCATGCCTCCACTGAGTCCTAGTCTCCAGGGCTGCAGTAAACAAACCTAATCCCTCTTCCTTAGGATAATATTTTAAATTTCTAAACATGGTGATCGTATCTCCCCTCAAAGTTCTCTTCTTAAGGCTAAACAGACCCAGCTCTTTGAGCCTCTCCTTACAGCAGTGGTTCCCAACCTTATTTTGACCAGGGATCATTTGACCAGGGACCACTTTGACCAGGTACCACTTTGACCAGAGACCACTTTGACCAGGGACTACTTTGACCAGGGACCACTCTCCAACATTAGTACCAAAAGGGTTACGAATCCGTTTTTGGTTAACTTTAGATTTGGTTTGGTTATTTGGGGTGCTGATTCAGAAAATTGCATTGGATAGACTACATCAGCTCTAGTTTCTGCTACAGAACATATGCCATCCAGTAGTCGCCATCTGCTCACCCACAGAATTTAATAATCAGAGCTGATGTGGTGGTAGTAATCTTTCATGGGTAGTCAGCCTCTCCCCACCTGACATCCCCATTGCTTCGACACTATAAGGTTTGGCTAGACCAGTTGCTCTCGTTGCTGCATGGTTTTGAGGCAACAATGTAGTAATGGTGAGATCGCAGACTATATTTTTGTTCTTGGGGACCACTGGTGGTCCATGGACCACAGGTTGGGAAACACTGCCTTAGAAGGATTCATGGTCTCTAGAGCTTTGATCCTTTTGGTCTTCCTCCTCCTCTGGACTTGTTCCAGCTTACAATCAATATCCCTCTTTAATTGTGTTGGCCCAGAATTGGACACAGTGTTATTCCAGGTGAGGTCTGATCAAAGTAGAAGAGAGGGACACTATGACTTCCCTTGATCTTGACACTATACCCCTATTGATGCAGCCTATAATCCCATTGGCTTTTTTGGCTGATGTATCATATTGTTGGCTCATGTTCAACTTGTTGTCCACGAAGACACCAAGTTCTTTCTCACATGGACTGTTGCCAATCCAGGTGTCATCCATCCTGTATCTATGCATTTCATTTTTTTTCCTGCCTAAGTGAAGTATCTTACATTTTTCCTTGTTGAAAATCATTTTGTTGGTTTTGGCCATTCAGCTCTCTCATCTGTTGAGGTCATTGTGAATTCTGAACCTGTCTTCTGGAGTATTAACTGTCCCTCCCAACTTGGTGCCATCTAAAAACTTGATAAGTATGTCCTCCATGTTGTTGTTGTTGTTGTTATTATTATTACTGTTATCTTCATTTTTATCCCACCTTTCTCCCCATTGGGACTCAAGGTGACTAACAACAGCACAATCTAATAATGGTTAAAAACAGAACAAATACAAAAACAATGAAATATTAGTGCTTGGAAATATTTTTTAAAAAATTAAAATACATTAAGCACAATTACAACTGCATTTAAAACTTACTCTATCCACCCCACAAATCCTCCCCAGTTTCCTGCCAAATTTTTGAAGAGTGCTTCAAAGATCTAAGAAACAAAGCAAACCACAAAGCAAACCAAAGAAGGGTTGGGTTTTTTTTTACAACCACTGTACGTTTTGAAAGACAGGATGAGAAGTGGCTACTAGATTATGGGATTTCTTGCTTAAAGATCTGTGCTTGAATCCCAACTGTGCCACAATAACATGGTTCAGTCAATGTCACACAGAATGGGACCATGCTACACGCGTGTGTGTTTGTCACTTTATTTGTCACTGCAATTACTCTGCATCCTAAGATGCAGATACATCACATCATCTCTAATTACCTGAGCACATTGATTGACAGCAAAGGTCTGACAGCTCCAGTGATACTGGAACCCTTGATGGACAATTTAATGAAGGACATCATGCACTGATGTGCAATTGTAGAAAAACTCTTTATTAATCCATTAATGGGAATGCATAATCCCAGTGTTTAGAGATGATGGGTGGTGATATGGTTTCATTGTCACCATGAAATGAGTGGGGCTTTTCATCACTAAGAGCTGGGGAACATGTGGCTCCCACAATGTCATTGAACTTCAGTTGACATCTTTCTCCACCATCAGCTATACCAAAGGTTCTCAAACTGTGCTCTGGCGAGCTCTTGGGGCTCTGTGAGAGGTTATCAGGGGCTCCTCTGGGGTGTCTATTATTTATTATTATTATTATTATTATTATTATTATTATTATTATTAGAAACACAAGAAGATGAGTCCACAGCAGACACTCTGCTGGCTGTTGAATTGGATCACACGTCAGACACTTCCCAAGTGTCTAGGACTGTGTGATGTATCGGTGAATAATGCGTGCAGTTCCCAGTAAGGTGGCCTTCTGCAGCTGGCAGATGGTAATTTTGTCAGCGCTGATTGTGTTTAAGTGCAGGCCAAGGTCTTTAGGCACCGCACCCAGTGTGCCAATTACCACTGGAACCACCTTTACTGGTTTGTGCCAGAGTCTTTGCAGTTCGATTTTTAAATCCTCATGTCGTGTCAGCTTTTCTAGTTGTTTCTCTGTTATTATTATTATTATTATTATTATTATTATTATTATTATTTGATTGGGGTTTTTTTTCTGCATGGCAGAAGAGGGTTGGACTGAGTGGTCTCAAGGGTCTTCCACTGAAATACTGTTAAGTTCGTGTTGACTAAAATTGTTCTTCATTTTAAATATTGTAATTTTGTTTTGCACTGTGATATCATAAAGTTGAATGAACTGATACAAGTTCATCATTTGAGTGTCCACACAAACACTCTCCATCCATCTGCCACTGGTCTGGCCCAAGCCTGATATATATACCTAATATAATATAATATAATATAATATAATATAATATAACCTGCAGTGGTGCGCCAGGTTAAACTGCTAAGCTGTAGAACTTGCTGACTGGAAGGTCAGCGGTTTGACTCTACAGGATGGGGTGAACTCCCTTTGTTAGTCCCAGCTTCTGCTAACCTAGCAGTTCGAAAACATGCAAAAGTGAGTAGATCAATAGGTACTGCTTTAGCAGGAAGGTAATGGTGCTCCTTGCAATCATGCTGGTCACATACCCTAGGAAGCATCTATGGACACCTCCGGCTCTTCGGCTTAGAAATGGAGATGAGCACTACCCCCCAGAGTCGGACTCAACTAGACTTCATGTCAAGGGGAAACCTTTACCTTTACTCATAATATATAAATATTTCTTGGGGCGCCACAAACAAACTTTTGCTTTAAAGGGGTTCCATGGCTGAAAAAGTTTGGGAACCCCTAAGCTATACTAATAAGACTTGCCGTTCGGCAAGATCCGAGGGCCACACCTTGTCCATCCCTGCTGTAGAAAAGCTCAGGTTGCATATAAAGGCAGGGAGGTTACTACTGAGGCTCTACTGGAGGAGCAAGCAGATTGGAGGAGAAAGAGCAGGACTCATGCTTGATCTGAGCTCTTTCTCTCTATCTGAGGCTATATTCAAAGGTGTTCCAAGGTGGCTATCTTCTTACTTATGGTATTTCTTGAACATTAGGAAGAACTTCTTAACCATAGGAGCTGTCCAACAGTGGAACTCACTGCCTAAGGGAATGGTGGAAGCTCCTTCGCTGGAGGCTGAATGGCCATTTGTCAGATATTATTTGGTTGTGCTTTTCCTGCATGGCAGAAAGGGATTAGACTGGATGGTCCCTGAGGTTTCATCCAACTCCATGATTCTATTTGTTTATTTTATATCCTTCCTTGCCCCTGGATGAGACACAAGGAGCAACAGAAAGTGACCACCAGTTTGAATAGTACTCCAGTAAAACTGTTTAAATATGTTCCCTAGAAACAGCATTTCGGACCTGCTGAAGTTTTGGAATTGTTTCCTCTTTCTCTCATGCTGACTCAGCCTACTAATACTTACTGTATTTTGAGAAGCATACGATAAACATTAGATGAGTTGTAACTGATTTGTGGTGTCTCACTCACCTATGTAAATGGCATCTTGTAGCCACAAGGAAAGCAGGTGTATGTAAAGAAGAAGTGGTCATTAGACTCACAGTTGACTGTGTAAACCACATGTGTCAAAATCAAGGCCCATGGGTCAAATCTGTCCCACCATATCATTTTATGTGGGCCCCCTTATGCTGGACACCAACTCTTGTATTCATCTTCATTGGACATCATCATGACTAGAGCTGATAGGAGTTGGGATACAATAACATCTGGAAGGCTGTAGTTTGTTCTATTTAGTCAGGAGAGTGGG